TGTAGGGAAGTTTGACAGTAAGTCAGATCTCTGACAAGTTTAAATCATCTCTAAATGAGATATCTATCAGGATTCACTGCCTAAACCCTGAATTGCCACCTTCACTTATTTTTCATATGAAATTATTTGAAGAATTCTTATATGAAAATATTGTTCTTATTTTTTAAGTTCCAAACATAGATATTTCAGTCAAAGAACGCATCCCATATGTTGTGTGTGATTGAGCATGAATTGGGGGTGGGGTGAATACAAAGACTAAGAAGGAATCATTCCAACAGATACAGTGTGGGAAAATGGTAGCATGGGGTTTTGAGAAGTCAGAAAGCGAACCTCTAAACTGAGCTCTGCATTGTTTGCATGTGGTGCTTAGAAACCTCTTGGCCAATCCTTTTAATTGTAACTGCTACCTGGCTTGGTTGGGAGAATGGCTCAGGAAGAAAAGAATTGTAACGGGAAATCCTCGATGTCAGAAACCCTACTTCCTCAAAGAAATCCCCATCCAGGATGTTGCCATTCAAGACTTCACCTGTGATGATGGTAAGAAAGCCTGGCCAGGTCTTTGACCACCAGACACTCTCTGGTGATTGTTCTGATGCTGTGGGGCATAATTAGACAGTACGTCATAGTTCAGGCAATGAATAATTATTATGTATTTTTTGCTTTGTTTTTGTTGTTTTGTTTTGTTTTAGCAACGGGGCACTTACTTGCTCAGGCTGTACTCTCACATCTAGCTCTACTTGGTTTGTGTTTCTGAATGTTTTAGAAGAATTTCTAATTTCCAACTTGTGGTTGATACTATTTAAATAGCTTCATTTTTGTTTTTCTTTACTATTCTTAAGCATCTCTTCTAGTAACTGCCATTTAACTACCAATGATAAAAGCAATTGACTCATAAAATAGAAATTCTAGTAAACCTAACAAGAATAATAGTTTTCACTTTTTAGTACTCTCTGTATATCAGCACATTTAATTCTCATAATAGCCCTGTAATGTAGGTAGAACATAGGTTCTATAATTGTTGGCAACAAATTAAGAGCTCATTTGAGCCGTATATTTTCAAATGAGGGGCCCATATACTTTTTGCTAACCATGTAAAACTAATCTGTCCCTTTATGTCTCTTCATGTCTGTCTCTTTTCAATTTCTCCATAATTCAGTTTACATATTCTAATTAAAAGTATAATTTGTATAAACAACTGAACAAAGAACACATTATAATCGTATTGATAATACAAACTGTGAATTGTTTTCTGGAATTCTGCCCTAGGCGGTCTGAAAAGAGACCTGCACAGAATGTATGGTGTCGATGTGTAAATACTTAATGTCCTATACATAAGTCATCATATGGCTGAAGACTCTTGTGTTTGTTAAGCTAAAGGCATAAAATCCCTTCTAGCATCTTCAAAGCCACAAATCTGGGTTTTCCTGTATTTCTTTTGGCAATTTAGGAAATGATGACAATAGTTGTTCCCCACTCTCTCGCTGTCCTACGGAGTGTACCTGCTTGGACACGGTGGTCCGATGTAGCAACAAAGCCTTGAAGGTCTTGCCCAAAGGTATTCCAAGAGATGTCACTGAATTGTAAGTAGAGCTTGTCTTTCCCTTTCCTGAAGGATTAATATTTCACACACCAAGGGAAATGGTGACCAAACAAAAATCTTTTGAGTCTTGTTTGCAAATAACATTCATTTTGTGGGCCATTAATTAGTATCATGGAAAACCCTAAGCAAATAATATAAAAGCTAGTTCAGGTCCCCTTGGGAAAGGCTGGTTGTGTGTTTCTCTTTGTTTCTCACTGTAGGATTTCTCAGAACCTCTATTATGCTAGTGTGCAGTGTGAGCTCCAAGAGAGGATGTAAACTCTAAGGTAGTTCCCATACTTAGTTGTCTCCATAGCCCTTTTCTCATGGAGTATCTTGCAATGCTCATGTTCCATCAAATGCACCTTAAGAAATGCTATGTATTTAGTTTATCTACGGTGGCTGGGATGTTTCATATGATTGAGTATTCTTTACCATGTGTCCCCTTGGAGAATATCTCACACAGGGGATACATAAATACATGGGGTGTGGAAGGAGCTGACATAATTTTTACCCTTAAAAGGAGATACTGCCCTTTGGACTTGAATCAGAGTCCCTTAGATCATAAAGGGCATGGGGCCAGTTATCCCTAACATTTTCAGAACTGATATTTACAAATTACATAGCCAATATAGATGCATAAAGATGCTAAGCACCACGCACACTTCCTTAGCTGCCTTATGCTTTACATGTGGAATGGAATAAACCTAAGCATTAGCTGCTTTAACAAAGGTGCATGCAGGCTCCATTTCATTCCTTATCTGTATACGAAGAACCATGGACAAATGCTTGATATGTGATTGAGTCATTTTGCCTCTGTTTATTTTTTTCTGTGTGAAACCATGTATCAAAAATGTAATTCATGCAGATGTTTACCTGTAATTCATGCACAAATATACAAGTATTGCAAACGAGCAGATTTGGTAAACTTTTGGCAACCTGGAACATAGGCAATGAGGTTCAAGAAGATGTCACTTCAGTTATCAAGGCACTTATATTCAAATCATGTGCAGTTCTATGAATTCTAATTTGGTCCTGAATTGATACTTTGAGAAAAAGTGTGTGACCTTCCCTCTTGAAGCTGAACTGTTGTAAAGGGCTCAGTTTCTCTCTTTTGTTACCAGTCACAGTTGTTAGTTAACTGTAAGCACTGCTTTATGTGTGTGTGTGATTAAATTCTTAATTCTTATTTTGATATGTATTTGTTTCAGAAGATTACCCTCCATCCAGTGTTGGGAAGATAGATGCCTATAGAGTATTCTATATGCAAAATACTGATTATAACAACACCCCAGCCAAGGACATAATACCCAGCATCACATTTAGATCACCTTTGATGCTAAATCCCTCCTTCTACCATTTTAACTGACCCATGCGTTTGTCCTTTTACCTGATTCCCATCAAATAATTTTAAGTGTCTTTTAATTTCCTTGTTAAATTACCTCTGAGAACCTGCTTGATTCATTTGTCTATGCCATCTATGTGTTTCTTCTGTCAGATAGTTGAGTCTTCAATCTATTCCTCTACAAATTATTAAAAAGTAATTCTTTTTTTAAAGAAAATACGTTTTAGAGATGAGGAAGACATTAACTCATCTCCTGTGAATTCTAGCTTTACCTCCCCAAGAGCTTATTCTTAGAAGCATACCAAGTCAGCAGGATCCCTCTCTCCAGTAACATATATGCATGTATTAGAAAATTTCCACGTGCATATTCTATTAAATTATTAAAGAATTTGGCAAATATAAGTATGTAGTGGTGGACAGTTTTGAACAAATGGTATCCATTATTTTTAATCAGTTCCATATAGTTTCCCTCTTAGATTGTTTTACTTGTAAGCATTCATAGTGCACATTCTGAACCTTTTTAGCTTTTGTGTTAGGATGCTTTTTAGAGTAAAGGAAAAGTCCTGAAGTACATGGGATTATGCTTCCCTCTAGTGGTACCAAGAAATGCTTAGCTAGAGAAAAGAAAGAGAGGAGAGAAGTTGAAACATGAAGTCAGAAAATTTGAATAGGCATAAGAAGTCATAAAAAGCCTGACTCTTAATCACATATTAATTACATATTTTGATAACTTCTGCCTTTTATATAACTTTTTTCATTTTTAAGTATTTGAAATAGATAGCTATCTTAGGCAGTTTCTCAGCTACTTCTATATCCAGCAAAAATACGAACCTCAACCTTGGATCTGGAGATAGGCCACAGCCCTGGGGCAGGGTGGGCAACATGCCCAATGTGGCAGAATTGTTTGTGGGCACATCTATAACCAGATGGCCCAAGTTGCTGAAAGACATTTTTACCCGTCACCATCTACATTCTGGGAAAGAACAGCCTTGGGAGGAGATGAAATTATTTTTCTTTTTGTGACATCATGGATATACCTTTAAGCATTCATTTACTTCTGTGTCTTGACTGTTAGCCCAAAGACTGTTTATTTTCTGATCATTCTTCTGACTCTAATCAGAAAGGGAAATTTTACTTTCATGTGGTTATTTGCTTATTACGGTATTGTTACTGTGCTGTACTTGTGCACTTGATAAATGTTGTGATTTTCTATGAAACCTTCTAAAATTAATATCACCAAGCAGATGTACAAGGGTAGAACTGTTTCTAAGATTTTTTTAAACTGAAATCTAATTACATTCAAATTCCCAAATATATCCTTTGAATCATCCGTTGTTTACTAAGTGTGTTGATACAAAGTAAGGCAGCAAAGATTGGTCTTGCTGGTGGTAGCAACTTCCTGCCAGTAGTGAATGCATTTCATGGTGGTGTTTCCACATAAACACAAGTGAACTGAAGACTGACTTAAAATATAGGCGATTGAATGACCCTTCTTGCTGACACACAAATGGTTGGATACATGCCTTGCCTTCTTAGATAAACCACAAAGAACCGGACTCACCAGTCTCTCCTTGGTTTTATAATTTAGCCTAAGTAATCCACAAAAGAATTCTACTGGATTGGACAACTGTGGTTTTTTACTTCTCTTAAATAGCAGTCCTAGCTGGGAACATGACATCTTAAAGCTGAAATTTCCAAGTGTTTCCTTGCTTCAATTGAGAGTGAAATATTGTTCAACTATTTGAGGATTCACTATTGTTACTTTTAAAAAAAATAATATTGTTTCTTTGTTTTCAGGTATCTGGATGGAAACCAGTTTACACTGGTTCCTAAGGAGCTCTCTAACTACAAGCATTTAACACTTATGTGAGTAACATATTTTTCTGTCTTTGACTTCTTATTTTATTTCATGAAAATGGGGATAGCAAGGGGCAGAAGATTTAGTGAACCTTTCAGATAATATAAATCATCTTCAGTTAGATGCTTCCCTTCTTGCTCACTGTGGTTCTGGATCACTAGCCACATTTTCATTGAATATCAGTCAGGCAATGGTGTATCTTAGAAAAAGGTCCTCCTCTATTCAAAGTACAAATACAATTAAGTCTAAGTATCAGAGAATTATTGAAAGGCAGTAAGTTGCGTACTTCTATTGGAGATGAATATGAGCTATTTTATGACAATCCAAGGAAAGAAAAATGGAAAACAACGTTCTTATTCTCGACTTTAAATAAAACAGAGTAGATAGTAATAGCTTTACTGAGAATATATTATAAATATAGTTTATTTGGCTTGATTTTCTTATTTAATACACTAAAAATTAACATATGGGCTTCCAGTATTAAAATTTGTTTTATAAAATCCATATTTACTCATATAGTATTTAAGTAAACTTGACAAAGATACTGACATTCTGAGTATAAACATCAAAACATTGAATTGTTTTTACCAGTTTGGTTTGATGTCCTCCTAAAGTAGCATCTCTCTTTCATTATGTAAACAATTTTTTACAATCTTTAAGTTGTAAGTACAAGATTATATGTAAACATACAAACATTTCATTTCAATCTAGTTATGCACACTATATTTTTAAAAAGATATAATCTTACTATATATAATGTCACACTTAGAGTAGCCTTGTTGGTAATTGATAAAACTTGTCACAAAACAAAAAATTCAGCAACGAAAGTGGATATAAAGGGAAATACTTTATCTTTACATCTATCTAATTTTAGAGTAAATATGCTGTCTTATATTTCCAGTGTTCCTGGTAAAAAGGGGGTTTGTTCCTAATTAGTGAATTCTAGAAACCTAGGGAGCAGAAAATGTTGTGTTTCTCATTGTGAAGTTTACCCTAAGCACGTGGAGGCTGTTGATCCTTTTCAGCTTTCCTTAAATGTATGTGAAAACCAAACACTTTGTAGGAAGTGTATAGAACTGCTTAAATGACAAATGATTAAATTAAGGAAAAAGAACATCCTCTAAGATATCTTGTTCTGCCTCTAGTTATTTATTTAATAGCAGCAAGAACTGATTACATACATTTGTTCTGTTAAATAAACCATTAAATTGTTGCAACTTCCAAAGGGTCACTTCAGCAGAATTGGGTCATTTGTGAGACAGCATGTGATTATTTAAAACCAGTTTGGAAATGAAAAATGAGAATTTATAGATCCAGAAATGGTTTTACCAGTGACTCATTATACAACTTTAGGCAAGTAACTTCTGCTAGTATCGATGTATTTATTTATTTTTTTAAATTTAGCCATGGTAATTCAGCAACTAAGAAGATGGACTATAAAGCTCCTATAACATTCCTACCATTTTCACAATTTCATTGGTCCATTTTACTGATACTTTGGTATTTTAATAAGGGAATGTGGATAATCTTCAGCAGCTTTTCTGAACCTTGCATTTCTTCATATATTTTGCTTCAGAAAAATATAGTGAACATAAATACACACAGAGACATAGATGGACATAAATTATGACCCGTAATCTTCCATTTATTCATGAATCTTCCTTTAGTCATATATTTGGCATTTTGCTTTAGATAAAAATTAGTGAATATTCACTAATATGTGTATCACATTGTCGTATATATGTGAGTGAATGTATGTATATATTTACTAATTTTTTCTAAAGCAAAATGCTAAACATATATAATATGTCATTATATAGATGTTATTATATATTAAAATATATTATACATTACAGTATTATATTTATAATATGTATTATATGTCATATTCTATATATCATGTATATATTATATATAATAAAAATAAGATCAAGTTCACTGAATATAAATTACAACCTGTAGTACAAATTACACTTATAAATACCCATTTAGCATTGATAAAAAATCCACATCTCTCTCATTAATTTATCATTTATTAAACAGACATTTACTAAGGACCATCTAGGTGCCAGTGACTTTGCCAGGCAAAGTTTTTAATTATGGTGTTGTTTTTAATGATGGCATTGTAATGTAACTAAATGAGGGATTCTTTCAGTTATCCAGTTTGAATATTTGTATGTGACAGTGAAGATAAAGTATGTGTAACTGATGGAACTTTCAAGAACAAAGGTTTATTTCTCACCTATCAAATGTGTCTGTTGTGAATGGCCTCCACGTGTCTTTGCCCTGGGACCAGGCAATGGGTACGGCCTCTCTGTGGAACATAGGAGCCTTGCAGAGGTGGGAGCAAAGGGATATGAGAAGAGTCTCAGCTCTAAAGCTTCTGCTCTGAAGTGAAACCAGCACACTTCACTGGCCAAAGCAAGGCACATGGTCACTTCTAATTTCAGCAGGCTTGGGCATGAATAATTATGAATAACATTCAGTCTACCCCAGAGGATTACCCAATGTTTTGTTATTTTCAGATAAAAGCTGAGTCCTAACAATGCTGCTATAACTGTGAGCAAGAAGAACCTTTTCTTTCTAAGAATCACTAATATGTCAATTTCTATGGTAACAGTAGACTCCATTTTTTTCTTTTTCTCTTTTAGAGACTTAAGTAACAACCGAATAAGCACCCTTTCTAATCAGAGCTTCAGCAACATGACCCAGCTCCTCACCTTGTGAGTAGGAAGTATGGTACTAAGTTAATTCCTTAATTCACTGGACATTCCTGGTAAACAAGACAGAGTTTCTGCCCTCAAGGAATGTTAATAACTGTTGGGAGAAACAGACAAATAAAAACCTCAGTAAACAAATACAGATAGTATAAAAAGTGTTGGGGGGCTTCCCTGGTGGCTCAGTGGTTGAGAGTCCTCCAGCCGATGCAGGGGATGCGGGTTCGTGCCCCGGTCCGGGAAGATACCACATGCCGCGGAGCGGCTGGGCCCGTGAGCCATGGCCGCTGAGCCTGCGCGTCCGGAGCCTGTGCTCTGCAACCGGAGAGGCCGCAACAGTGAGAGGCCCGCGTACCGCAAAAAAAAAAAAAATGGGGACGTTAAACCCTCCTATCTGCAATGTTGGGAGGCTTAACAAATGAACTGTCTCCAGCAACACCTAGTATATTGCTGATACTCCATAAATGTTAATTCCCATCCTAAGAGATTCATTCTATATTTAATTAATTTTATTGAGCTGCCTTTTAGAGTGTCAGGTGCTACCTCAGACCCAGGCAATTTAGTTCATGGTTTAGTTGAAAGGGTGGTGGTGTAGCTGGTTAATTTGATCACATTTTGATAATGAAGTTTTGATCACATTTTGATAATGAAGGCTCTTTACGTTTGCTTGCCAAATAGAAGGCAAGAAGACACAGTGCTAGGTAAAAAGATAATCCATAGAAAAGTCCTCCACAGAGGGAGTCACCAAGCTTACACACAGCCAGCACTCAGGAGAGAACCGTTTGAGATGCATTCCTCCTCGAACCTTCGATGGATTGAAGTCTCTTCGATTACTGTGAGCATCTTATGTTTAACAAAATACTTCTTTTCTCAGGCATCTGGATTTTGGGTTGTCTTTTTAATGATTTAACTGCTTTGTTTATTTTGGGGTATTTTGGGTTATATAAATTCGGATTTACTAAAAATTTGGAAATGGGAAAGTTCTATCTTACGGTATCAATTCTCAACAGCTTTTACTTGGACAACATAATTTTCTCTTTTGTAACATGTTGTTGCTGGGGTGACTTATTTGGTAATATATGGTATTAAGATGTAGTTTTATATAGATCTAACTAATTTTGCAAAAAATACAGGAAATTTTAATTTCATTAAAAGTTATATAATGCAACACAACATATTTTTACTATACAAAATTTATCTTAAAGTACATGAAATAAAATGTGGTCCTCAATCCCAATCCGCTCCCCAGAATTGACAGTTAAACAGTTCAATGTTCTCTTCTGGTCCTTTTTTATGTTTGTTTTTATGTATTGATATATGTATGCCTACAGCTGTATAACTTAAAAACCATAAATAGGGTTTTTCTTAGCCTGTCATTGACTATTTTTATTTAACAATATGCTTTAGACTTTAGACTTTCCATTCCATCATATGTAATATTCCTCAACTGTTTAACTGGTAAAGAGGGTTCCATAGAATGAAGGGACCATAAATTATTTAAGCATCCTCATCTTTGCTATCATTTGGTTTGATTCCAAATTTTCGTTATTCTATACAGTGCTGGAATGAACATCCTATACATCCATCTTACTGTCAAGCATATTAGGAGAATACCAAAAGTAGTCATCTTGTTGTCCCCCAAACAATTTACAAATTTATTTTCCACCAATGCTATTTTAACAGAGTACCTATTTCAAAGCACTCTTGTAAATATTGAGTATTATTAATCCTTTCATTTTTGTCATATGACAGATGGAACATTATTTTCCATTCCTCTTTTAATTTGCAATTCCAATTACTAGAACATTTGAGTATACTTTGTTTATTGAGCATTTGTATTTCTTATTCTATGAGCCTGATTGTATCAATTCCCATTTTCTGTGGTTACTTTGTCTTTTCCTTATTAACATACCTGCCTTTATGCACTTGACTCTAAGTTTGCAGGTCTTTTTACAAAGGAATTAATCCTTATAGCTTACATATGTTGCAGATATTTCCCATTCTGTTTTTTATATGTAATCTTTTTTTTTAATTGAAATATAGTTGATTTACAATGTTGTGTTAGTTTCTGGTTGCAGCAAAGTGATTTGGTTATATATGTGTGTATGTGTGTATATAAATATATATATATGTACACACACACATATATACATATATGTATATATTTTTTCATACTCTTTTCCCTTATAGTTTATTACAAGGTATTGCATATAGTTCCCTGTGCTATGCAGTAGGACCTTATTGTTTTGTAATCTTTTATATTATGGATATATTTTACATTGTCAAAAATTTATCACTCTTTTCCATTTGATTTCTGAGTTTTAGAATATAGGGCTTTAAAAAGCCTTCCATATCCCATATTTATAAAAAGGAGCTCATCTATATTTTAATACACTTTCAGTTTTATTTTTACATTTAACTCTTCGATCTAGAATTTACTTTATGCATATGATGTGAAGAAGGAACTAACATTTTGCTTCCCCAAATAGATACCCAGTTGTGTAAAGACTATTTATTGAATACACCATCTTTTCTACACTAATTTTAAAAGCTTGTTATAAACTAAAGTCTCATATATGCATGGGGATTTTTCTGAACTCCCTGAAATAATAGGAAATTTAATTTTGCTTTTTCTTGCTTTTAGTTCTTTACATGGAAATGACATTTCGGTTGTGCCTGAAGGTGCTTTCAACGATCTTTCTGCATTATCACACCTGTGAGTATCTAGTTCATGAATGTGCGTTTAGGGTCAAACTCTCCCTGGCAAGTGAGTTTGGAACAAATGGTCCTCTGCCACCATTTTTATTGTCACATCATAAAATGTGATTGGTTCCATCTTTAAAGAAGATGTAAAGATTTTCAATCTAGATATGGTGCCTTCTACAAAATAGCCTTAATTTATCCTTTGGGCCCTAACTCCCCATTAGTTGAGCTCTCTTTGCTTTCAAAAATGTCTCTTCTTACAAACATGGCTCCCCAACTTCCTAGCCTATGCCTTTTCTTTAATGTTCTCTGATTCTAAATATCAGCTTCCCTTCAATTCAGTCTGCCCAAACCCTGCTATTCCAAGTCATATACCAAATTTCACCTCCTCAAGGAAGCCTATCCTGATTTGCCCAAACTGGATTCATTTACTTAGCAAATATTACTCAGCACTGACTATGGCACCATGCAGAAATAAATTAGACAAAGTTTAAGACATTATGGTGTGGGAGAGGGAAACAGCCAAATCCTCATATTGGCTGAAATTTTTTTCCTTTGCATTCTCTCTCATAGCAGGCTGTTTGTACCTCCATATTTCTTGGAAGTACAATAAAACAATTTAATAATGAGGTCCAAAGCACACAACTGGGTTAAATTCCATTGTTCCATTAGTTTTAGCTGTAGTGTTAAGGCCTTGGCAAATTGGAAGGAAGTTCAGAGAACAGCCCTAGAATCCAAAGCCTTCTTAAGTCAGGCTGAGTTTGGCATCACCTGGTGACAGTTATCTGCTTCAGCTTAAGTATCAATATCAGTTGGCCCTTGGTTCTCCAGAAGAGGTTACTTGCCATATTTTTTCTTGGATTTTACCTCTTATTCAAAGTCTACCAAACCCCCCAAGAAGATAAGAAGTTTAGAAAATTGAGAGAAGGGGATGGGCAGAGAATAGGAGCCATTAGTGAGTCATGCTACATCTGAATTTCCCTTATAGGGGCTGTGTTATCAGTGTAGGTTTTTGTCAATGGGACTGCTGCTGTCAATATCCCTTCCATTACATTAAACTACTAGGTCCCTGGAGGCAAGACCTCCATTTTTTCATGTGTGAGCCCCTGCTCCGACCTCAAAGTTGACATCAGGGCCACTTCTCTACAAACTCCATGGAAGTCACTTGCTTGAGATCCCATGTAAATGAGACCCCTGGCTCAGGGGTGCAGGACTGCGGCACTGTGGCAGGGAATGCCGCCTAGAGAAGGAAGTGGCTGTTCAGCTAGTGTTAGGGTGATGAATCAGAAAAGGCTACGTAGGAAAGGTGCTGCTTGAGCTAAGTAGGGTTGTCCTTTATGTGACCCTCCTCCCCAACAGGGAGAGCAATTTGAATCTTCTTTGTCATGCATCCTATTTGTCATGTATTTCATTTTATGCAATTGTCTTTTACACCCCAGACCAGAGAGAGCTATGCTCCATTCACAGTTTTTACTGTTTCTCCTGGCATAGTAAGGATTTAGCAAATGTCAGTAGAGATGAGATCAAATGACTCAAAAACATCATTTTCCTCATTTTTAATTTAAAAGAAAGGTTTGAATCTGACATACATGTGAGCATAACATTTACTTCACTCCAATTCTTGGCTAGTGTTTGGCATTAAAACAGCTGCAATATAAAGTATTACGGTTTTGTAAGTATATTTTGAAAGTCTCTTCTTAAAAGAATAATTTTGCTTAGACTATATACCTAGAAATATTACTAATCTGAAGTTAATTATAAATCAGCATTAATCAGTTTTTAAATGCTACTTTATGCACACACTACTTGTGCCCAAGCTTGGCAAATTTGTGAATCCATTGGTTAACGTCTCTGGCCTCAGTTTTTTAATCTGTAAAATGGGTTGTTAATAATGTTGATCTCATGGAGTTTCTATTTAGGATAAAATGAGGTAATTCATATAAATGGCTTAGCACAATTCCTGTATATCATAGTGTTACAATAAATAGCTAGCATTTATAATCAAGCATTATCTTGATTACTTTTCCTATCACTACAACTGCTTATGTGAGTAGGAACCAAAGTTCTAAAATGAAAAACTTTAAAGGGACAAACGTCCAATGGAATTCCAAATCAGCTCTGGGGAACTAGCTTTATGCGTCTTTATTATTTTATGCCCTTCCTTATCTTCTTGCGTTTTACTGGTCCTTTACCCTGAAACATCCTTTCCAACCTTTTCCACATACTTGAAACTAAATATCTAAAAGCTCAGACTTCTTAAACCACCAGTCTCCCAGAAGAGTTACCCTCTGTTCATAGTTATCTTGTAAATTCTTCTGCTATATCACTTCTAATGAAAATTACTTGTATGTATAAGTCTATGTTAATCTCCTTTGCAGAAGGAGTTTTTGGGGTTAAAAATAATGTATTATTCATATTTGGGTCCCCAGAACCTGGCATAATGATTGGGTTCTAAATAAATCATTGGTGAATGAAGGAAGTGTTAATGTGCATTTGGGGTGTGCTTGCACACAGTATAAACCTGTCTGCAAATACAAGGAGACTTTGTAAAGCCAGGTAAGTGTTAACACTGGTGACAACTCACTAAATCGCAGTTGCACATAATTCAGGAAAATGGGGAATCCCCAATGCCTCCATTTCTTCTAAATTTTTATCAATAAATCTGTAGGGATTTTCTACTGAGCATCACCATAAATTATGGTCCCTTAGGAAATAATAACGGTGCTTCCATACTTGTGTGTGCTTTTGTTGTGTTGTTTTACAGAGCAATTGGAGCCAACCCTCTTTACTGTGATTGTAACATGCAGTGGTTATCCGACTGGGTAAAGTCGGAATACAAAGAACCAGGAATTGCTCGCTGTGCTGGTCCTGGAGAAATGGCAGATAAACTATTACTCACAACTCCCTCCAAAAAATTTACATGTCAAGGTATAGTTCTTAACCAGTTGTACTTCTGTAAATAAAACTTCACCGTATTAATTTAAAAGAAAATGAAAACCATGGGCTGCTAGATTTCATGAGTATAGCTGAAAAACTCCAATAAATAATTACTGTTTCTTCCCATACTTGGAGAAGACAGAGCAGTTACATGAGGAGCCCAAGGAAAGAATTTATTTTGAAATAAATCACAGAAATAACCCATTGGAAATGACTAAGTTTTCTTTTAAATTGTATGGAGAAATGAAGAGTACACAATTTCTGGAAATTCCTCTCATAGCCTCTAACAAGTGAAATATTTTGCTTTTGCTTTGTCTGAATGTGTACCCTGCTCCTAGGGCTGCCAGGGCCCTGTGGCTTCCTGATTCCAGGTAAGGAGAAATGAGCCCTCCCCAGTGTTCAGGCCAGACCTTCTGACTCACCTCCTGTGCTTCACTCTTCCTATGTTGATGGTGCTGTTTCTTGCTTGTTTGGATCCTTTTCTTTTCCCTTTGTTTTATGTACTTGTGAATTCTATACAGTGGCTTAGTAACAAATATTTTTTTCTCTTATTACAAAAGTAATCTATGCACAACATAGAAAATCTAAAGAATAGGAAAATGTAAACAATAAGAAACTAAAGATCTAAATCTAACAATTAATGACAATAGCAAAAAAAAATCACTATTAAACTTGTTTTGTATATCTTTCCACTTTTTCTAGTCAAATATATGGATTTAAGTTTCTTACCAAAAATAGGGTAGACGGTTACTATAATCCTTAATTTTTGATGTTTCAAGAGGGCCACTTTTAATTATTAGATGGAGGAGAGAAATTCTTAAAAATTCTAAATGTGTAAGCAGCAAATGCTTATTAAACTTGTTTTATGGGTAAAACTAAACCTTGGGTATTGTGGAGCATAGAGAAGGTGGCAGACCTACCTGAAAAGATAAGCTTTCAACACTTGATCATGTAGGTGGGAAAACATATATAAGTAGGTAGTATTGTGCAGTGCATCACAGAATGAAGACCAGCCTGGTTTCATCTGGGCTAAATCCCAGCTTCAATTTTCAATAGCTATGTAACTTTAGTTTACTAGCTAACCAGCTAGTGGCTCAGATTCCTCGTCTGTAGGCAGAGGTGATGATAATACATACCAGAAAGGGTTTTTTAAGATTAGATGAGAAATTATAAGTGGAATCTTAAAAAAAAAAAAAAAAAGAAAGAAAGAAAAGAAAAGAAAATGTCATTTTCACAGAAACAGAGAATAGAATGGTAGTTTCCAGGGGCCAGGGGAGAGGGAAAATGGGGAGATGTTGGTGAAAGGGTACAAACTTTCAGTTATAAGAACAATAAGTTCTGAGGATCTAATGTACAGCATGGTGACAATAGTTAATAATATGGTATTGGATACTTAAAAGTTTCTGAGAGTAAATCTTAAGCATTCTCCCCACACACACACAAAAGTTAACTATGTGAGGTGATGGATGTATATTATCTTGCTGTTGTTAATCACTACATAGTGTATATGTATATCAAATCATCAGGTTATACATTTTAAGTACATACAATTATATTTGTCAAATATTTTTCAATAAAGTTGGGGGAAAATGATTCATTTATTTAATATATAATAAAACATGCTTACTGCCTTACACACAATAAGCTCTCAGTATAGGTTAGCTGCCATTTTTATTATTATAACATTTCAAAACACCAGCAAAAATATGATGCGGGATGGCATGCTATGTTCTATTGGTGAAAGAAGGAATTTTCAAAAACTGTATTCCCTCCTCCAAACATTTTTAAGTGGTCATCTGTTGTTATTTCATAGTTATAAATGGTAACAGGAGATGTAATTCACAGTGCATTGTAAATATTGATATCTTAAAACAACACTCTTACATTATTCTTTTAAATGTATTTTGTGGAATCTAAATATCACAGCCAATTTTAAAAGAAACAAAAACAAGATCCTCAATATTTTATGTTGTTCTTTTTCCTCGAACTTCGATTTTTCTCCTTGAATTTCTATTTCCAGTACCTCAGAGAACTGTGTCATTCTTCACTACCAAAAATATGTATATAATTTGAATATTTAAAATTTCCTACCACTAAAGATCTATGAGCTTTTAAATTTTTATTAGAATTGTCAGTAATGCTTAATGCAACACTGATTGCAACAGCATAATTATTTATCAATATGCTAATATTTATATTCAAAATTGAAATTAAAATTTTATTGGAAATGACTCTCTGGGATTATGTGCATTGATTGCAAGAGGCTTTGCAAATAACCAGTGTTTTAAATTATTCTTTTGTAACCTCAGATGCTTCCTTGGGGCAGTGCCCCATGGTAAATTTCTGGTGGGCTGAGAAGTATATCATTTTTTGGTAAGGTGGAGATGATTGTCAAAGGGGAGATAGGGGAGGAGAAACTGGCATAAAAACTTACTTGTAGGCATATTATTGGGCAGATTGATTCTAGAAAGAGTATATAGACAAGTTGAGCAACTGCAGACTGATTCTGTTACACTCTCTGTACCCAGGGATACTCACACTCCACTTTGAAAAATGCTGGTGTTTATCTTCAATTCTTAAAGCTTAGAGTTCTGTGAAGATATTTCTTTTTTTTTTTAATTTTTTTAAAATTTATTTATTTATTTATTTATTTTGGGCTGTGTTGGGTCTTTGTTGCTGCAAACGGGCTTTTCTCTAGTTGCGGCGAGCTGGGGCTACTCTTAGGTGCAGTGCGAGGGCTTCTCACTGCGGTGGCTTCTCTTGTTGTGGAGCATGGACTCTAGGTGCACAGGCTTCAGTAGTTGTGGCATGTGGGCTCAGTAGTTGTGGCTCACGGGCTCTAGAGCGCAGGCTCAGTAGTTGTGGCGCACAGGCTTAGTTGCTCTGCGGCATGTGGGATCTCCCCGGACCAGGGCTTGAACCCATGTCCCCTGAATTGACAGGTGGATTCTTAACCACTGTGCTACCAGGGAAGTCCCCACATTAATTTGTTAAATGTTCCCAGAAGGCCAGTGAATACAAACATACATACATACATGCATAAATGTCTGTTTAACTCAAGATTTGTCTAATTGATTTGACCTTTTCTTCATTAATAGTATCTTTTGTTCTTAGTATAGCATGAATGGAAATATGCTTTGGTCTGGATCAGTGTAGCCTAACAGACCTTCCTACAGTAATAGAAATGTTCCATACCTGTGCTATCCAATATGGTAGCCACTAGCCACATGTGGTTGTTGAAACGTAGCTAAGGCAACTGCAGAAATGATTTTTTAAATTGTATTTAAATTTAAACTTAAATAGTCATATGTAGCTAGTGGCTACCATATTGCATAGTGCTGTTGCTACAGGACTCAGATGAAGAAATCCTGTCAGAGAGCGACTGTGAAAGGTTTCTTACAAGAGTGTCTAAGCCAGTTGTTTGGATAAGCAGGCAAGTGTGAGGACTTGAGCCACAGGTGGGTGGAACTGCAGGAGCCCAGCTGTGATATAGGAAAATGCTGGAACTGTGGCAGTTTATTTAATATTTACTGACTCATCGAATTAACAAATCACACATATTTCAAGGTACATCCTAAACTACATAGCAGACAGCATAGGTGTAGGCCAGTTGGCAAGAAGCGTAGACATTCAGAACTCAGCAAATTTAGTGTAATCGCACTTAGCAAACTTTAAGATTTACTCAGTTCCTCTATAACAACATAATTTTAGAGAGATAGCAAACATTGAAACTCATAATGTTCTTTGCCAGCATTTCTCGTTATTTGTCAGAATACTGTGAACCACTCTCATATTCTTTGCTAGAAATATTTACTCATAAAAAATGGATTGGTAAAGGCAAAGTATTCTAATCCATTCATTAAAATAATTAACTCTGGGAAATCTACTGAGTACTATGTTTTTGAGTTTACGTGCTTTATGAGCTTGAAAGCAGTAAAATTACGCTTTAAATATTTTATAATTTGAGGTTTTTATATTTTAACTTTTATGCCAGTTTTAATGTGTTTTATTTATTCATGAAAATCATGTAAGTACCTAATATTAAAGTTTGTAAATATATAATTTCAAATTACAGCAGGAAGATGAATATTCTTTATTTGAAAACATGTTTATGTAGCTATATTTAAATATAACTTAAATATTTTCTCTGCTAGAAAAGACAATAATATTATTTTGAGTAATTAATTCTTTCAATACAATTTTTATCTTACATTTTTCAGAGTATTTTCTTTGTAGTATAATCTCATAGTTTCAGTGCACAACAGAAATAAGTGAGCTGAATGAAATAGATTATCAGAGCATATTTAATTAATACCCAGATTAGGACATTCTTGAATGGGAAGCAGATGGTCATGACTTGTTCTTATAACCCAAATGTCCTGTCTTCATCTTTTAAATATCAGATGATATTAGAATGCTCAAGCAGAAAATGAAGGGTTTTGCCCTCTCCAGGTTTTCATTGAAAACGTCAGCATGCAATGTAGAATATTGTTAATTTCTAATATTCCCTTTATTGCTCTTCGTTCAGGAAGCTTTAGCTATGCAGGTTACTAAATTGTTCACTTTTAATTTTACAGACATTTATTAAACACTTAAATGTGCTAAGGAGTGAACAGTCTAAAGGAAACAAGTGGTATATTGCCTCTTTCATTCAACAAATATTATGTGAGTTCCTGTTATGCCCCAGGCACAGATCCAAGGTATTAAGAATACAATAATAAATAGGACAGAAAAACCCCTGCCTTTATGGAGCTTATATTCTACTGATAGATAACATTTAAATGGATAATTGCAAAACGATATGGAAGTTTGGTGATAGAAATATATATACAATATTAATAATGTATATCCAAACCAAACAATTGTGGAATTGTAACCAATACCACCAGGTCCATCAGGGCATCAGGAGACTCTTATAGTGAGTCAAGTGGAACTGAGAATGGAGCACGAATCAGGGAAAGCAGCCCCAGTGGTCAGGTGTCTGGTAGCCA